CGGAGTCTGACCGAGGTCTAATAGCGACGGGGCGTACCCGCCAATAGCGCGCAAAATGGACCGCAGAGAAGATTATGCTGGTTCGCCGGAGGCTTAGCCTTCGATACGAATCGCGTGTCGGCCTACACACTGAGGTCCACCTGTCTCCACTAGTAAGTTTCCACTTCTTCGTCTTCCTTCTTATCGTGGAAATCTCCTTTTACCGATCGAAATTGTCTCATGACCCCTTCATTTCTACTTCGTTGCTATGGCGCTTTCTACAAATTGCGGTTTACAGCGAGTCCATTCAATATATGCCATCAATGACGGTATCAAAGTTGCGAAGCGAATGGAGTAGCAGACTTGCCGACGTGATGGCCTTCAAATTGTGTTATAAATGCCTGAACGGTCCATCGAACTAGATGATACTTGCCAACCAACCGGTGAGAGCTTAGGCAACCCTTCGAATGATACGCAGGCACTTCCTTCCGTTGAAGGACCCTGTCACATAGGAACATTCAAGAATTTCCCAGTTTGTGCTCTCGTGTCAGAAAGTGAAAGCAGGTGCGGCAGTTGGTCACATTAGAGAGGGTAAACAAACTGCTAATGCAGATGTCAGACTTTGCGACCATCGCTAGCGAGTCGCGCGATTTGCTGACGATCAGCCGCGAAATCTGACACCTGTCCAGGAGCCGCAACAACCACATTGCCGCTGACCAGATCAACGAAACGGCCTCCAGCATTGGCGCGCTTCTCACTGGTGGATTCTTGCAGCTTACCGTATCAAGTGAGAAACCAACCTATGAGGAAAGCGCCAAATATGATGGAACCGCCTCTGTTCACATTACGTTTGACAAATTGGACATGTGGTTGCGCTCTCATTTAGCCAGCCGGTGGGTCCCATGCATTGAAATATGGATTGATTTTGCGCGCCTGTGCTCCATAGTTGCTAGGCCAAATAATGCAAAAGTTTAAAATGTGAAGTAAGCCTCAGGTGTCGTTATCACTTACTCAATATTCTTAATCGCCTCATGAAGTGAGCGACTGTCTTTGTAGTCATCCAGACCGAACTCGTGCCTGGAATACCGTAATCAGGTACAGTCAAATCAACGAAGTACTATGTGAGGGAGACATGAATTTTCTAAAGAAGAATTGGTATAAGAAACAACCTTAACCTTGAACTTACCGTATTTGATCCGAGTACTGGACAACTGACACCCGTGTTTTGTCCGGAGCGATATCGAAGAGTTCAGTGAATTCGGCAAGGAATCGTAGAATCTGTAAACAGACAGCTATAGAATTCTTATCGATCGACTAGATCATGGCGTTGGGAAATCAATAATCGATTGCTCGAGAAATACTGTCAGAACGCTTTGAGATTGCATCAGCATGCAGTTTTCCCATTCTCTAGAGATAAACAATTCCCAGTAACCTTAGCCTTCCCTCAAAAAGCGATGAATTTATGTTTAGTAGACTACCGCTTTTTTTGAAAAATCTATATTATAATTAGAGTTGGAGGAACATTCAACGATTACTAGAACGATTGGAACCAAGCAAAGATGGCCTGGTTCGGAGGCGCTCCGGTTGCAGCACTTTTGTGATGCGAAGACGTAAACGAATGATTCGAACGCCCAGCATCGTTCCAGCAAGTCCACCCCTCCTACGACTCACCATCGTTTTCTGCGCCTCGCTTGTTCCCAAACTCTCTCGTCCCATCGCCGCTGCTGCTACTCTTCGGCCACTATTCCAGCTACCATATTGTAAGCTACCGTATGCTCGATCACGATCATTGCTCAAAGCGAAGTATTTCGTATCCATCGCGTACTTGCTCACATTCCTTCGAAGAAAAGTGCCTTCAGAACGGAATGAATTGCAAAAAGGAATGCTATTGCTAGAGCCGTATCGCCACGATAAAGCTAATTTTTTAGCTAATTTTTTTCGTTCATGTTTTTCGTTATTCGGATTATTGTTATCGTTATTATTATTACTGTTTATTTTGCATTTTAGTCAGCTTATTCTGGACTCTAACAGATTTCGTTTCTTTTAAGTTTTATTTACTTTTCATGTGCTTATATTTTCCCGAATACCAATGCTCACCTCAGTTCTGGAAAATGTACGATCCAATCGATCCAGAACCGTCGATAAGGAAGACAAGATCGGTGGCTTGTACTGGGCTGAAATGGCAGTGGTAGTACCGTTTTCACGTCGAATTTCCCGAATGGTTTTTTCTGACTTAAAGATACCCTCACCAAACAGTGCTGAGCGTGCAAACTCGTCCCGGCTCGAGATTCGCGTTGGATGACACGTCCACATAACCGGCAAAGCATTTACAAGTGTAGCCGTCAGGCAGCTGAACGCAATCCGCATTCTCGTCGCACGAGTTCAGCTTACGGTCTGAGCACTGATTGGAGGCTGAAATTGGAAATATTGAATCACGGTTCACTATTCATCGACTGAAGCTAACAAGCCCTCAGTTTGTCGCACGCGACATTTCGCGCGGCAAACGTGGTGACACACGTCATCATTGACATCGATTGATGTTGTTAACACGCTACAGTCAAAAGTTCCAATGGTACGCGTGCGACACGCCGCGCAACGGAGGAAAGCCGCCTGCGGTTGTCAGCGCGGCACTTTTCTTGGTGACAGTCGCCTATGGAATACTTCCGGGCGTTCTTCTAGTAAGAGGGGGCATTTCGGTACAAGATAAGCGACTGAAACCTTGACAGGCATTTCCTCTTATTAATGCTCTTTAAAACTAATCATCAGGGGAGGAGAAAAAACTTCGTAGTCCGTAAGTAACTTCATAGTTCTCCTCTCGGAGTTCTCCTCTCTCCTAGGCTTGGTCCGAGGTGATGAGAGCTGGTTTGCCTGACTTACAATCGCTTCTTTGCACCATCCAGCCCCGTAAAACCGTAGATCAGAAGAACATCTCTAAGAAGAACGGCTAAGAATAAAGCTGTTAGTAAATTGCGAATTCAAAGGACTTCGGCAAGACTGCCACCAGAACAGTCCTCATGAACAGTTGCCCCCTCTTGCTGGAAGAGCATACATTTCTGTTCAATATGTAACCCAGAAAACGTTGTTGCTCAGTGGACACGATTCACAGGGGTTCTTTGCAGAACAGTGAAGTCTTCTTACCTTGCGAACATTTCCGTCCAGGTTGAAGCTGATATCTGGACGAAACGTCTGTGTATCCCATTTTACATTTACACAGGTAGCCTTGTTGCAAGTCGATACATTCCGCATACGGTGAACAAGTCCAGCGGTCATCGCACACTGCGTTAGTACTGAAATAAGATGCCATAAATTCCAATCGATACCGCTGAATTCCGGTGAATCGATTGAGTCAAAGTAAAACTAGCATCAATTGAACTGACATTTGTGGCACTTGCGTCCTGGCAGATGGTATGGATCAGGTGAGAGATCGATAAATCCGGCCTGGAATTACGGTATTATGACACCTAATAACTTCGTCTCTGCGTACGATTCACCCGGCGATATGCTAAGCTCTAACCGCGCTAGGCCGATGTCAGACTTTGCGAATCGCGCGATTCGCTAGCGTCTGCGGTCGCGTCGCGGCCAGTGAATCACTCAATTGGCTGGTACCGCAACGCGACCGCGGACGCTAGCGAATCGCGCGATTCGCAAAGTCTGACATCGGCCTAGCGTTTTGCCACCGCAAACGCTGGCAAACAGAACTCCCACCCCTCGACTTGCCCTCTACCTCTCCACTACTTCTCCCTCGGCTCGCCCGCCGATCTTCCCACTCTAAACTCCCTCACTTCACACTCTAAAATGATGTAAGATTGACTATATATCAGAAACCTTTGCTGATAACTCAAGTTCGGACATTAAGGATATCTCCATTTCTTCTGTGTCGATCAAGCGAAACTACCAGGTCTCGTAGTGTTGTTTTCATGTATACGAACCGGACAATAGGCCATTGCGAAAAAAACATCGAGAGAGCTGCAGTTCGCAAGCCTTGTATCCGATTTGGAGAAAATCGTACGCAGACCCAGACGCGGAAAGAGATCTTATCTGACTGCATCAACGGCATAAATCCTAATGAGACTTCATGAATGGACAGGCGACCCTAACATCAGGCCACGAGGACCTCAATGTGAAGGCGAACTCAGGCCCAAGAATGAAACGCCCATGCGCGACTAATTAAGTGTTACGCTACTATCACTTGCGAAGGACGGAACACCCAGGCCCAACCCATCTGACAGACTCTTAAGCCTCCCAGTGCTCGCACAGAACAACGCCCTTATGAGGACAAATCAACCAACTGTTGCACCCCGCCACTTGTGACGAGAAACCACGTCGGTCAAACAGAGCGACTAGGCTATCAACAAAGTACTCCTGTGCTGTCATCGTGCGTCTTCTATCTCCTTCTATCAAGTTGAGGTCGTCCCTCTAACTCGCGCTCTGGTCTCACGCCTCACTACTCATACCTCTTGCTCAGCACAAAGTCTCAAATCATTGCCTCTGTACGAAGCCTAACCTCCGTATAGAGAACCTGAGGCTCAAACGATATATGCGACGTTCCGACGTTTTTCGGTAATTCACTTTTTCTACTACTGCCGCCCCACCCAACCTTGCTGCACCATACATGCCCGCTTTCACCAGTGCCAGAAAAAACCTGGGTGGCCAACCCTGATAGACCCACGCTAGGGAATCAAATGCGTTAAAGTCCTGGATTCCAGCGCACACACAAGTGAATAACTAGAGGACATACGCTGAATCATTCTGGGCGTTCCCGTCCATAACTACAGCCGACACTTTCATATTAATGTGCTTGAAAACAGCTGACAACACATACCATTGTCGTAAGTCTGAAAGATGCACTAAACGTATGGTACCGAACGCCCCCCGCCGCTGTCCTCCGCTATTTCCTTAAAATCGAATCTTATAGTAAACTCCTTCTCCACCGGCGTTGAAAATCTCTTCACTTGGCCATCATGCAAGCAAGTGACCGTCCAATTACGAAGGCTAGTAAGCCCTAAACCTGAGCCTTCGAACGGAAATTGCTTTATCCTTTTTCTCTCTGTCCCCGGCTCATTACGAACCAATTCACTCGTGTTTGTGTGCAAAGACCACACTAATGTGATCATGGGGTATGCCTCAAAAATCGTCATGTTTCAAAGAGATTGGCGACAGCGTGACTGAGGACCGGTGTCCACTTCAGTGTTTTGGTCTCTAAAAACAAACCATGATCAGTCAGCAACTTAAAAGGGTCCATAAGTTTTTTGAGTGGGCAAATCTCTCGGGTATGATACCGACCAGGTCACAGTAGCCGTCCATACAGAATAAATTAGCTAGAACCGCAACATAACGAACTTACAGTAGAAGAATCACACTTTCCCGCAGGACCGATTCAATTAGTTGCTCATAAGTAGTGTCGCTTTTTTCAACCCCAAAAAAAAAAACTTTCATCAAATCCCCATGCTTCAACAGACTATCCAATACCATTCGAAAGAGAATTGTCTGCTCTACAAGATGTGATGTTCTTCTTCTACCTCTGTGTCAAGGTTTTCAAGTTTTAGGCCTGCGAAATGGGAGGTCCAGCCGACAAAAATTGACCAAACCGACAACTATCTCTAACTTTATCTTCCCTTGAGAGAAATCAATCAATACTGTACCCTCTACTTATGCATGACCTCTTCTAAACATTACACTATTAGGTTTCCCAACAAGTCGCGTCATTCCATTTCAGACCTGGTTTTTCAACCAGAACTCGACGGTCAAGCACCATTACCTGAGATCGAGGTCGAAATTTTTTTACAGCCGAGACATTGAAAAACTAGTAGAATTTAAAGAACAAGTCATGACTAAGTTAGGAATGTACGCCTGGTTGATTTTCTCATCTCTCAAGGATAATTTTTTCAAAGAAATGCGGTCACTTTCGTGGATAAAGCACCTTACTCCTAAACACCTAAAATTCACAATCCTAACAAACATCAAAACAAAACAAATGGGCGAATAGAGCAGAAAAGTGATCACAAAAGATACACCAGTTGATATATACAATAGCCTTTCAGGGGAAGAATTTCAATTTGAAAATTGCCATGGCTTATCGGTCGGCCAATTCGCCACAAAAGAAACAGCAAACCTTTCGGCAACCTAAGTGTGGAATGTTTAGAAGAGGTCATGAGTAAGTAGAGGGTACAGTATTGATTGATTTCTCCCAAGGGAAGATAAAGTTAGAGATAGTTGTCGGTTTGGTCAATTTTTGTCGGCTGGACCTCCCATTTCGCAGGCCTAAAATTTGAAAACCATGGAACAGATGGAAGAAGAACACAACATCTTGTAGAGCAGACAATTCTCTTTCGAATGGTATATGATCCAATAGAACGTGGGGATTTGGATGAAAAATTTTTGAAAAAAAGCGACCATATTGAGAGACAACCTAATAATTCAACATTTCGTCCAGATCTTGGGAGCCGCTACCTCTGATCGCCCAGCCACGTCTATGCCTCGACTGCAGCACAATCAATAGTTAGTTCCGACTGACCATTCAAAGTGAATGATTGAAAGTGAAAGTGGATGAAAAACCTTGCGGAGCCTCAACTGACAAATTACCTTGCACTGGCATTTGAATCCATCATAGGTGTTCGCAGATTGCATTTCGGTCACACTCGTTAGCTCGTTCACATTGTGAAAATACTGAAAAAAACGGCTTCTATAGTTCCCAAAATAATCGATAATCTAAGAACTGTAAGGTTAATCGAAATCCATTATTGACGAACCTTTACATTTGCCGTCACTCTGTTGAACGGATCCACGTTTGCATTGGCAGACCATCTCGCCTTTGGCGTTGAATCGGCACTCTCTCATTCGGGCCACACTGCTCCGAACTAGTGCACTGAGGCTAAAATTTGAGCGCCTTTCGTCACTTCATTTCATTTTGTAACCCTCCCCTTCAAAAAGCGAGAAAGTGTCGGTGCAGACCAAACACCACAACTGACGACGGCCTCCAAGTAAATCTGGTTAGTAGTGGTTCATAGTGATAGCTGATTTTTGGTAAATGATAGTTGTAATTAGTGACAACTGATAGAATACAACTGCAACAGGCTAATCATTTCATTGGCAAAAACATTTGCATTTTGTGGAGGCCGTCGTCACTTGTGGTGTATGGTCTGCACCCGACACTTTCTCGCTTTTTGAAGGGAGGTAACTCAGCTTCTTGTGAAAGTTACACAGCAACGCAGAATTCTTGCTATGTTATGATTCGAAAACCAAAAAGAAACCTGTCGACTGGTTTGTCCGTAGTGCTCAGGGGATTTCGGCCGATTGCAGACTCGTCCAGGATACTTAGCGGTGTCCGGTGAAGCGTCGACGAATCCAGGGCGACATCTGAATATGTGAATTCAATGGTCTAAAAAGGCAATGATCAAAGATCGCTAGGGGACTCACTTGCATTCGTAGCCCTCGTCACGATCAAAGCAGTCAGCGTTACAAGAACAGTCCGCTTTTCCGGTGGTACATTCATTCACTACCTCGACGCACTAGAATTTACTTATTTTTATTCAGAATGTTTATGGGAAAAAAGCCGATTTGACGACTTCTGGCTGATTTGCTATTGGCTAGTTGTATGACAGATGGGCGCGCGGCCGCGAAGCGGCTAAGTAGACCTTATGGCACTGGCACATAATTGCGGATCTTGTAATATGGTTTCTTTTCAAACTGATCAAAAACAAGGCAGTTACAGTTCAGATAAATTAGCACCCATTTAAAGGCTAATGTAGCGTATTTCGACCGCTAGCCGCTGTGCGACCGCGCGCGTTACTGCTCTGTCTATTGCACACCTCACTGAGAAATGTGGCTTATTATTCCTGCGATTTTGTACGAAAATTAGTGCCAGTTTGTACTTTTTTCAGAGGTGGGATTCACAAGAGAGTTTCTGGCGCTATCACAAGATACGGGGCATTGTGGATGGCAGTGCCTTTAAAACCGTGTTTTGCTAAAAACTAGGCGAGATAGGAGAGACTCCGGGGTACGTGGGCCAGAGTTTCTTGCCCTCCCCCGGGTTCAGTGCTGGAGGGTGACCCCATATTGTGCGATAGAGACGAGTTCTCTCAAAGGAAACAAGTACAAACTTTTCGTCCGGGCATTTTGCTGACCGACGACGAAACATCGGCGAAACCTGGTTGACAGACGCATTGAAATCCTTCCGGAGTGTCAACGCAGGCCGCGTTCGGGTCACAGTCGACACCATACCTTCAAAATACTTCATTAATCAATAAACAAACAAGTAAATAAAAAAATTGTGGAGGGACTCACGTCTCTTTTTGACTGCACTCATTACTTGTCTTTCGGCAAATCCGGCCTGGTTTATTGGTGCGATCCGTGGAGACGTCGGCAAATCCGGGCTTGCATTCACACGTATAGCCTTCTTGCTATAACACGGGTTATTTAACACTTTAGCTCCACTAACTTTACCTGTAAGTAGACTTTAAATCACTGGACAGAAAGGATTTCCAAAATCCCGATTTTAGGGCTTTAAGCGAAATTGGTACTGAGCTTCAAGATCTTTGAGGGATCGTGCTGAGGATGCACACAAGGTGACCTGGAATCAGGGTCGACCAATGCGTTGAACAAATTTCGGGGTCACTGTCACCCCCACCCTTCCTGGGTTGGACGATGCAAAAATTTATTTGCCCTCCCAACTAGGACCGGGAAACTAATGGGGGGAGGGGTTCTTCACCCAAACCGTCCGGGAGGGTATAGGACACGGCCCGGAATGGGATCCTTACATGCTAGTTCATAGTTATCAAAACACGCGGCAAAAAATCTAAGACTTTAAATTTTTTTGAATTTCTTGAACAGTTTTTCCGCTTCCCGAGAAATTCCTTCCCATTTTCTCAAGTATAGGTCCGACTCAATGAATATGACCTCCTCTCCAAGGCCTTCAAAGATACTGAATACGTTCCAATCAATCGTCACGAGGTTGACGATTAACCCCGCAAGGAATGTAGAATTGACCTGCTCAATTGGTAGGTTAGGTCCATCCAGGAGCCCTCCTCAGCCCTTTTACGAACAGTGTATGGAACATGCAACGTTTTCAGTGCCATGAGGACGTGAAGAGGAAGAAATCTTAAAGGAATCTTCCACGGAAAAACATCGCCTCCATTCCTACAAAAAAACGATACCTTAGGCCCCTTGCTTCATGAAGATAGCAAAAAGAACGGAACATAGGCGATGGTTTTGATAATAATTATGATAACCAGTTCGACTATGAAAATTTTGAATTCCCGCTGTAAAACTTCCACAACTGTTAGCGGCGTGGAGTCAACACGTGCAAACGTGTCAAAAGCGTGAACGTGAACTGGATTCATATTGGGCCCTTCCATAAACTGACACGTGGATCCGCACCTGCCACGCACTCCGTCACAGAAGCACTCCCTTCCCCCTACTGGTCCAATCCG